TGAATACCTCGAAAAACTGTGATATATACTTATATTATTATTATTATACTATATTATATTAGTATATTATACTATATTATAATATAGTATATTATATATACTGTGTTATTATATTATTATAAAATAGTAATAGTATAATAGTATAATAATAGTGTATATAATATAGTATATTATATATACTATTATTATACTATTATACTATTATTATTTTATATTATGTAATTTATGGGATCCTAAAATCTCGCGAAGCACACGAAAAATTTCTACACATGTAGAAAATACATACATCAATTCAGAAGAATCAAAACGTCGAATTATCAAACTATTGCGGATAGTATCTTTCGTTTTAGGACGGCATTGTTGGCAACCGATGCCTGAAAATTTCTATATTCCATAAAGATCCACGGTGCAGCAGTAATGAAGAAATATTGCGCGCAGTGCGGAGATAATCAAACTAGCAGCTGCTAGGGTAATAACAATAATCGTTGCGATTGCAGTACGTATTTTACGGGAGCGACGCAAACGAGAACTTCGAGGTGACTTGGTCGTATTACGTGTCGGCATCGAATCCCGGGTACACGCCGAAATACCTGTGGGACTTTACGGAGTGGTCGTCCTGCGACGCAAAATGCGGCGGCGGCACAATGGTAAATCGAACTATTATCGGACTAATATCGCCATTGTGTCCGTGGAACCCCGGTGAATCAACGGGGCCAGAAAGTCACTACCTTGCCGGCCGTTTGATTGCACTTTCGCGGCTCGATACGCTATCGGGCATAAATCAACAGGCTCAATTAGACGTTTGCCCGAGGATTTATTTCCCTTTGATGCTTTTGGGCTCCGGCTTTCGCTCGGCATGGCAGCGGCCGCGGCCACGGCAGTTCGCGTGCGTCCATGATACTAAATCAGAGGACAAGCGGCAACGATGCGAGCACATGCGTCTTTAGCGATGGTATCAAGCCCAATGTGTACGATGGTATCAAGTTCAATAAGGGAAGTTCATTTCAAAGAATTCGATTGCTATTCGTATCTCCTCGTCCCAAATGGTCCATTTTTTTTGTACACAATCTGACCGCCAATTAGGGAGAATTTACTGTACTTGCAAGTATTATACATTCGCGTTGAATCGAGTCTTTCGAGAATAGAAATCGAACCAGCTTCTATTTCGCATAACTCTGATGCGATTCGAGTATACGTATAGTGGCTCACAAATGTATTCGTGCGCTTTTTAAAACGCAATAACTTTTTTAAGACTGGACTAGACCGCTTGAATTTTCTTCTAGATTGTAGAAACACCAGTCTAATAGACAATGACCCAAATACTTTTTTTAATGTTTGCTACTACACATAGAACTTTCGGTATGCGCGTAAGTTACCGAGATCCGTTACATTAGATACGCATAAAAAACTTGAGCTCATTTCTTTTTCTTCGTCGTTGCAAGTAGTAGCAAAATGAAGAAAAGTGTTGCAATCATTGTAGGGAAAACTAGTCCTTCTAACATCTCCGGAAAATTCAAGTCATTTAGTCCAGCTTCAAAAAAGTTACACCGTTTTAAGAGCTGTACGAATACATTTGCTGTAGATGCTCGTGAAATTTTCGCATGTAATTTACAAGAATTCGATCGTGCTTTCACTTGCAAGTGTTACGAGCGTCGTTTACGCTTTATCGACTCTACTTAGCGCATGCTTGATCCCATCGCTACGCGAGCACCGATCGTCCTGCCGAGAAATATCTCACGACGCTAAATAAAGTCGGGTTTGCAAACGACGGATAACAGGAGGCGAGACGGTATAAATAAGCGTAATCAAACGTACCTTCGATAACCATAGATCTCCGAGGCGACGTGCATCGAGCAGAACTCTGGCAAAGTCACGCCCAATTTTTGCGAGTCCATTCCCAGACCGGAAACGAAGAGCCGATTGTGCAACGTGGAAGCGTGCCCTGCGAGGTAACACAATCAACTTTCGTTACAATATTCTTTCTACGAAGTATTCTCTTCATTTTTAAGAAAATTTCATAACTTGTTATATTATTATTCATTGATAGCCTGCGGATCTTTATGTAAAATAAAAATTATCTTCATTAATTGCAAAAAATACGAGTCGAATAGAAATTTCTTTCTTCCTTAAGTAATTTCAAGATAATCTATAGATGTCCTTAAATTCCTTTAATATTCTCATTGTTTTAAATTTCGCGTAACCGATTTTATTATAAATGCATACGATCCGCAGTATATTTATTGATTAACGGGTGCGAGCCTTTTGCATAGGAAGATTCTTAACTTAATTTCTAGTAATAACTTATTGAGTATAGATGTTATCCTGTCCTTTAAAATTGGAATAAAATTCTAATCTCTTCACATCAATATTTAACCATTGAAGTCAATTTTCTTTCCCTTCTAAGAAATTATTGCAATCGAAAAATTTCTAATCGCAGTAACTGCCAAGAAAATGGTATGTCAAGGGATTAAGAAATGTGGGAAACCTGACTGCGACGTAGAATACATAATTAAGTTATGTTTAAATAAAATGGAAAAATCAAACAAGTCTTTAACCGTTTGAGTCCCAAGCAGCGCGATCGCGCTGTTCAGATCTTGTGTCGCGATCAAAGTTTAGTGACGCACGTACATCGCATAGCTACTCTTATTTCTTTTCTTTTTCTTTTTGTTTTGTTTGTCAATCTTGACGAGCGCTATCGCGCCGCTTGGTTCTCTTCGCAATCAATTAAGACAAGCACTATCACGCTGTTCGGCATTTTTCGACCGTGTTTTCTGAATAATCCCTGGGACTCAAACGGTTAAAATGATCAACATTCATGGAGCTACGATTCTTAAATCGTATAAATAATCCTTTAGGATTATTGTTCATAATTGTCCATAAAGTGTTCTATGTTTAAAAGTTACCAATGATATATTTAAAGCAAAGCTCGATAAAAAAGCAGGAAAGCGAGATTATTCCATGTCAAACTTTACACGCAAATAGTAAGTCGGAGATAATGCGACGATACTCCGACGCTAGTTAATTAATTCTAGACAGTATAGACTGAGTCATTTAATACTCATATACATGAGAGTGAGTCACCAAAGATCTTCGCCTGATGTATCTTCGTTGTTTTCAATACTACAAGGAAAGAAATTGTTTGACGAACATCTCTTTCCTTACACATTCGCTCGTATCGATCGAGAAACAACGGAGAAATGTCAGGTGAAATTCTCAGGCGACACATCTGGTATACTTTCAGCAAACGAATGTAACATTCCAGCGAAAGAATATATTGCTCGAAATGTTTGAAAGTTCGATTCAAAGGTAGCAATCGGATATTAATATTGCTCGGATATTAATATCTCGCGAATTTCCTTAATCCCGAGATTAATCTGTTTGCGACGACACGGAACTGTCTCTGTGCTTTGTACGAAGGTGGCGAGTGAGTCAATGGAGCAGGTGCAACGCCTGCAACGGCAAGTCGGGCTGGAAGCATCGCAAAGTGCAGTGTGTAAAGCCGGCTTCCCGTGCCGGCGAGGACGACGTGCAGGCAAACTTTGACGCGTGCAAGGGACGCGTGCCAAAACAAAAAGAGGAATGCGTCGGTGAGAATATTGTTCCCCCATGCTATTCTCGGATCGACCCTTTGTCTATTAACACGTTCCGTGCCACGTGTACCATCGATGGTACACGCTTGCATGTTTACTTAGTGAACTGAACAAATCGTTTACAAGAAATTTAGAACCGAAGAATCAATTTCCACTGGAAGAATGGGTAGTGATAAGTTTTTGTTACGTTGTTATGTATCCGAGAATTAATAATTGCACGTAATACATCAAGTTTTGGTAAAATATCAAAGTGTGAAGAGTCGAGTAAAAAAAGCTCGGCACGGAACGTGTTAACNCACATTCGCTCGTATCGATCGAGAAACAACGGAGAAATGTCAGGTGAAATTCTCAGGCGACACATCTGGTATACTTTCAGCAAACGAATGTAACATTCCAGCGAAAGAATATATTGCTCGAAATGTTTGAAAGTTCGATTCAAAGGTAGCAATCGGATATTAATATTGCTCGGATATTAATATCTCGCGAATTTCCTTAATCCCGAGATTAATCTGTTTGCGACGACACGGAACTGTCTCTGTGCTTTGTACGAAGGTGGCGAGTGAGTCAATGGAGCAGGTGCAACGCCTGCAACGGCAAGTCGGGCTGGAAGCATCGCAAAGTGCAGTGTGTAAAGCCGGCTTCCCGTGCCGGCGAGGACGACGTGCAGGCAAACTTTGACGCGTGCAAGGGACGCGTGCCAAAACAAAAAGAGGAATGCGTCGGTGAGAATATTGTTCCCCCATGCTATTCTCGGATCGACCCTTTGTCTATTAACACGTTCCGTGCCACGTGTACCATCGATGGTACACGCTTGCATGTTTACTTAGTGAACTGAACAAATCGTTTACAAGAAATTTAGAACCGAAGAATCAATTTCCACTGGAAGAATGGGTAGTGATAAGTTTTTGTTACGTTGTTATGTATCCGAGAATTAATAATTGCACGTAATACATCAAGTTTTGGTAAAATATCAAAGTGTGAAGAGTCGAGTAAAAAAAGCTCGGCACGGAACGTGTTAACGGTCGCGCACCGTGCGTCTCTTAACTGTTAACGCGTGCCACGCAAACCGATTGTCTTAAACAACGCGTTGAACCGATTCTTTTGAAATTCGAGTGGTAGTGGAGCCATTTTACTGGAGTGTAGCCGATTACTTCAGTCTATTTTCAAGCATAATTAACTCTATATTTATCGAATGGGATGTATGGAACTCTTATTATTTAATTTCAATTAATTAAACATGCGAAAGATAGAAACGGAGTTGGACATAACTCGGATCGTTTCGTATTTATCTAAGACAATTATCCGAATGAAATCCTCTCGGACGAATATTTTATACGAACGATTCAGTATTCGTCATCGTCGTTAATCTATTTATCCGAATAATTGTTCATTCGAATGATTCTTCATCATTGCTACAGGATAGATAGACCAGAAATCTGAAGTCATTTAATCATTTAAAAATTTTATATGAAATTTGATCGAAGCTCTAATGTGAACTTCTAAATGCGAGCTTTCAATCTGATCATTCAAAGGGAATTTACAAACGAATTAACTACACGGAAAGTTTACTTCGCAAACGGAGTGACCAATCAAATGGTTAAACAATTAAATTCGAAGGATTTTATGCGTTCATGACAAAAATGGCTAGATCAAATACGAATCGGTAAAAACATAACTGTCGCATTATTTTCTTCTCGTTAAAATGATTGAAAGAACGAATCCAATGTCTATGTGGTTTCTGTAATCAACTTAGACAATTTTTATGTTGCACAAAAATCCGTCGTTCTCTAATCACCCAATTCCGCGTTCGAAGGTCAGAGACCGTGCAAGAAAACCTGCCCGAAACCGTCCGGCGACACCGCCAAAGCTCCCGAGAAACGGACGAGATCTACGGAGAAACGTGCCAAGATGATCGACGCGGTCGTGGATCTGAATCTGGCGCGATACCTGGAGAAGTCATACGGAATCCGAAGCGGTGCCGACGAATTGAGCCGTATAGGGGACACCGACGGCTACCGTCAGGTGTTGCGCGACTGGTCAGCCGCGGTCGAAAACAAGGCGAAGCGCAACAGTTGCATCCCAGTGAAGAATCTAACGTACCCGAAGCTGGGCTCGATCATCAAAGACGACATCCCGGTAGAATCCATGATGGTGGTGGAAGCCCCGTACTTGGACGAGAATTTGCAACAGAATTTATCCGACAAAGCTTACCAGGAAGCCGGCGACAGGGTCGGAGTCAGCATCGACACCTCCCGGGAGAAGGTCTATCACGGAGAGGAGGCCATCAAGAAGATACAGGAGATCACTGGGCAGAACGAGAGCGCGATGCCACCGAGCCGTTCGAGGTTTACGTACGATCGGCTGGCCAGGCTCGTGGATCCCGTCGATCAGAGATAATCGACGGCCAATTTCAGTCCGATGTTAATTTAAGAGTTCTAGGGGCTTTGCCAGTGACTAGCCTGGCTTTAGATTGTATCTAGGGACCTCGATCAAAGTCGACGGGGAATTCTTCGGATCGTATTTAGACCGTATCTAGACGATAAGAGTTGAAAAGATTTGTTAGTTTACGCGCCGATTTATGTACGACAAATAAACATGCATGCTTCGATCGCATTGGAACTCTGTTCAGCACGTGTGCGTCTCGCCAGCAGCGTTTCGTAGTTCGGAAAAATGATACGCTGTAATTGCTGTGTATCCGAGAAGTTATAATACTAAGCGCGAGCATTCCGAAATGATTCCGAAGCGAGAGAGAGAGAGACGGCGGTTTTCCTCGAGCGCCGTGTTTCCACGGGTGAGCGGAAATTCACCAGTTTTTAATTGGCGTGTGTCGGTATTTGAACAGCAATTTATTACGAAATTATGATACCGTTCGACAGTGTTGCCGATTTAACATCGCGATCGATCATTCGAATGCGCCGCGGATCCTGCGTCCTGCGGTCTAGCGGTCCACGAGCGACGCAGGTGTGCCGCGGTCTTTGCCGTATAATGGCGTATAACAGTGTACAGGAGTTGCGAAGTAAGATCCGGATTTAGTTTTGTCTGGCTGGAAATTGCGCCACCGAGATAACTCCAGCTCTATCGGCTCGCGAACGCGCGCGGCCAGCTCGCTTCCAGAGTCCAATCGGATGGCTAATTTTGTTTGTCTGCACATATTTCACTCGAGAATTCTTGACTCGACAAATGTTTCTACATTATTTTCCAATTATCTCGTTTAGTCCGTGTGTGCCTGACAGCGTCCAGTCCAGCTATAGCGAACGCTGCATCGTTCGGGGACGACTGAGCTTCAAAGTTTTTGGGATTTTCGTTGCGTTTCATAATTGCATAGTAATTACCAATATTTACGGAATTTTTGGACAGTTTCGAATGCGATACTTTGCGTATCGTACGGTGCGCAGATATGGGGGTATTTTTGTCTGGAATCTTTGAAAATCGATCTTATTTTACAGTGTTTTCTTAATATCTTATTTTTTAATATATAGAGTATATGCCGTCGAACATATGCTTGCGACAGGATTTGTTCGAATTCGTAATATGTGCGAAGTTATGGGCCTGGATTGCCAGATTAATCGTAAGTATACACGTTTCCACGTAACTGCTAATTAAAGCTTTAAACGAGCTTTTTAAAACATTTTTATGTTTATGTAAACGTATTTTTTGTATTTATTTTATATTTTTATCTATTTATTTTTTCGTATTTATTTAAGTATGTTACAGATTAAAAACATAAAAAGATCGATATTTAAACGTCGAAGTGTCGCCATTTTTCAAATTATCAAAGTCTTTCATTTATGGCGGTTCACGCTATAGTTATATTCATGCTAAACAAGATGCCATTTCGTTCGTTTGTTTCAGGTTAACGAAATCGTCGCAATCTTGCGCTCCAGCGAGCCATTTTTTTCTGCAATACTTTTGTTTTGCCGAACACAGCTCATGTAAATTTTATTATCCTTACTTTACAAAAAAAGACCATAAACGTTAGTAAATATTTGTACCAAAATCAATATACAAATGTGTGTGTGTGTGTTTTTTTTTAAATAATCATGCCGAAAGATCGCATACTAGAAAAGGATTCTCCCTCGAGGGTTAATACGGAAATGTAGAAATCCGAAGCGTTTCTGTCAAGCGACGATTATGGTCGCTCCGGATGACAATAGAGGCAAACACCGCCCCCAAGGGTCAGTACATTACCGAGCGTCAACGCGTTAATCCACAGGCTGAAACAAGAGGGAGGCAAACTCGGCAAGTTCAGCCTCTAATCCAAGATTAGGCCGGCGAGACACCTCGTTGGCGTGTTCGGTTCGATAATCTTGCAGGCGAGAGAATCAGGCTCCGCACTTTTGTTCGTTTGATCCCGAGGTTCTCGCAGGACCTCGTCGCATCTCCTGCGACCGGTGCAGGACTCCCGTTCCTGGGGCTTCGTCGCCTGCCGGTACCTGTCGGCGATAACATCTGCATCCTGCTCAGCGGAGCCGACGCGTCGGGACGTACGCACTCGACGACTCGTCTTTTCTCGAAGCCGGCGATGCGGCTTTGCCAGTCACCGATCATCCATCTACGATCATAGTGATTAACCTATCGGTGAAATAGATGGATGAACGGATCGGCCGTCCAACTGCTTTAGAACCGACGAGACGCGCGGTGACGCCATTCGCGTTCGCCATTCAGCGGTTCGATCGAACAAATGGAGAGCTTTTAACGCAAATTATCCGCTGTGAAATGTTAACCGGCCGGTACTCGACTGCCGGCGACGTTTTCCTCGGTTTGCCCACCGATTTTGTCGATTTGCTGGCTCTCGTACATTACCCCATCGACGATTCGCGCGTTTTATAATCTAACAGTCTGTCCAACGAGACACATTCGAGAAACATGTGCTTCTCGGAACCGGAGCTCGACATTTAACGGAACGACAGCTGCAAACGTCAGGATCGATTAAGCGAGTATTATGTAGCCATTTTATGTACATTTCCTGGCTCGTCCCGTTGGACAGATTGCGGATCCTGCAATATTTTAGATTCTCGTGCGATTCTACTGTAATACGTTTATATGGTTAAAACGTCTTATCTATCAATTCGCCACTTTTCAAGATATTTTAAAACGTTTGGTACATTACGTGCCTTTTACATATTCTATATTTTATTCTATTATTCTATATATATTCTATATATTATTCTATATTCTATATTCTATATATTATTCTATATTCTATATTCTATATATTATTCTATATTCTATATTCTATATATTATTCTATATTCTATATTCTATATATTATTCTATATTCTATATTCTATATATTATTCTATATTTTATATNCGCCCCCAAGGGTCAGTACATTACCGAGCGTCAACGCGTTAATCCACAGGCTGAAACAAGAGGGAGGCAAACTCGGCAAGTTCAGCCTCTAATCCAAGATTAGGCCGGCGAGACACCTCGTTGGCGTGTTCGGTTCGATAATCTTGCAGGCGAGAGAATCAGGCTCCGCACTTTTGTTCGTTTGATCCCGAGGTTCTCGCAGGACCTCGTCGCATCTCCTGCGACCGGTGCAGGACTCCCGTTCCTGGGGCTTCGTCGCCTGCCGGTACCTGTCGGCGATAACATCTGCATCCTGCTCAGCGGAGCCGACGCGTCGGGACGTACGCACTCGACGACTCGTCTTTTCTCGAAGCCGGCGATGCGGCTTTGCCAGTCACCGATCATCCATCTACGATCATAGTGATTAACCTATCGGTGAAATAGATGGATGAACGGATCGGCCGTCCAACTGCTTTAGAACCGACGAGACGCGCGGTGACGCCATTCGCGTTCGCCATTCAGCGGTTCGATCGAACAAATGGAGAGCTTTTAACGCAAATTATCCGCTGTGAAATGTTAACCGGCCGGTACTCGACTGCCGGCGACGTTTTCCTCGGTTTGCCCACCGATTTTGTCGATTTGCTGGCTCTCGTACATTACCCCATCGACGATTCGCGCGTTTTATAATCTAACAGTCTGTCCAACGAGACACATTCGAGAAACATGTGCTTCTCGGAACCGGAGCTCGACATTTAACGGAACGACAGCTGCAAACGTCAGGATCGATTAAGCGAGTATTATGTAGCCATTTTATGTACATTTCCTGGCTCGTCCCGTTGGACAGATTGCGGATCCTGCAATATTTTAGATTCTCGTGCGATTCTACTGTAATACGTTTATATGGTTAAAACGTCTTATCTATCAATTCGCCACTTTTCAAGATATTTTAAAACGTTTGGTACATTACGTGCCTTTTACATATTCTATATTTTATTCTATTATTCTATATATATTCTATATATTATTCTATATTCTATATTCTATATATTATTCTATATTCTATATTCTATATATTATTCTATATTCTATATTCTATATATTATTCTATATTTTACATATTCTATATATATAGAATAAAATATAGAATAATATATATATACTTCATAGAGTTCCAAATGTAATTTCATTTATTTATGTTCATTCATTTAAAAATGATTTTGGCAGTTTAAAACTTCATTTTTTGAATGATCAGAAATGTTAGGATAATTTAACTGAGGAGGACAGTATATATGATGTCCAGAAAGGTTGGGGCTAATAGAATAGATGAAATTGTGCCCGAAAATATTTGATTGTAAAGGTATTAGCGTTGAAAAGTTATATGAACGTTGGTTTATAAAAATAAGATAGAGGCAGAAGATCCATTATTATTTCCAACACAGAAATATGTATTCGAAAGAATTCGACAATCACTGATTGAACGAACGGAAACCTACATTCTTTCAAGAGAAGAAATATTCGAACTTTTCTTATAACTGCCGCAATAAATAATAAATATCTTTAAAAGCATATAATGTCCAGTCACTGGATTTTATGCGTTTATAATAAAAATGAGTAGCTGAAATTAAAATTGCGAAGATGTAAGAAGAATTTAATCCCTTGCATTATAACTTCAAGTCAGATTCGTGACAAAGATTTTATAGACGATTTATTAAATACAAGTATTATTCATTTCCTCTGAATCAGATCAAAATTTGATACCAAATTGATACCAATTTGATACCAAGGTATGAAGACATAAGAGAAACAAAAATTGTGTTGTTCTATCAGAGTAATTATCAGAGTAGCTGCGAAAGAAATCATAGTGCAAGGAGGAGGAATAATGTCGTTAGACTATTTTCAACTTATCAAAATAGTTAGCAGAAACAATTTATTTTTATTGAATTCCCGTTTCACGCGATCGTCTTGGAGAATTTTTAATTTGCATAAAAACCCGTAGTCCACTTACATGTTTTCAATAAAACATTTTTTGAGGTAAGATTATATTTATTGGGTTGGCAACTAAGTAATTGCCGATTTGTTCAATGAAATACAAAATATTTTTTACTTGGAACGAAGTTTAATCTGTAATGTATTTTCCATTTTGTTCGACGACCTTTTGCCATCTCTCTGACAACTTGAAAATTCCACGCTCGTAGAAAGTCTGATCCTTTTCGGCCAAAAACTGAGTTAAGTGGGATTTTACAGCGTCGTCATCATTAAAAGTTTTACCACGAAGGGAGTTGTCCAGGGATCGAAATAAGTGGTAATCCGATGGCGCGAGATCAGGG